GGCCGCGTTCGCTGCAGGGAGCTGGTTAGGCCGCGTTCGCTGCAGGGAGTTGGCTGGACCTTCAGCGAGGACAATATTAACATTTGCTAATTTTGTGGGATGTTTTGGTTAGGCCTTGGTTTAGGCTGGTCATATTTCATGGTAGTTTTTTTGTTAAGGTTGGCTTTCTTGCTAATTTACTACCTTGCTTTCCTGGTATATTTGTGTGGTGTAGCTTGTTGGTGTGTGGTGTAGCCAGCGAGTAGTGTAGGTGGTGTGTGGTGTAGCCAGTGAGTCGTGTAGGTGGTGTGTGGTGTAGCCAGTGAGTCGTGTAGGTGGTGTGTGGTGTAGCCAGCGAGTAGTGTAGGTGGTGTGTGGTGTAGGTTTATTTTTTCGCAGAGATGTTCCTGCGCGGGCCCTAAGCCTCTGGCTGGCCCACGAAGTGTTACTTGTTTATGATTTCCTTAGGCGGAGTCTGAGTATTTGACGTGTATGTTCGCTTCATTGGGCATTTTAATGACTATTATATCCAATGTGTTTAACAACTACTTCTGCTCTGTTGAATCATAGTTGAAATGTTATTTGGTTTGTAACTCTGCACTGTTGGATAATGTTCCAGTGGTGTGTCTGGGATTTCTCCACAGTGGTGATGTGGTAATGGCTTGGCGCTTTCCCCCTGATAGTTCCCTCCCTTTCCTCCTACACACGATCCACAGTGGTGCCGTGGTGGTGTGGGGCCGCCGGCCTCGCCCACCACACCCTCGGGTAGTTAAGTCAACAGACATACGGGCCTCGCCACACCCAATTATCCTATTATTACAATTAGAAATCGTGGCCTACATGCTCTAGTACATTCACTGTCTGCCCACCTTGTGGGGGAACTCTCCCGTCCTCATTCTCTCCCCCCTTCTGTCCTCCCCATGAGGGGCTATCTGCTCCCCGTCACCCCGCCCTCAGCGGGTGGTGGGGGACTGACCATGGCCGCTGCCACTCCCATCTTAAGTGAGTTACAGCCCACCTTAAAGAGGGTCGTTATGTTGTTGAGTCATCATGCAGGGCGACCGGTCCACCGCCCTACCAATCCTAACTTCACTCGACATGTACTTTCAACACCCTCAAGCCTCTAGAGTCCCGCTATACATCCCTGCCACACAAAGGAGAGAGCGGGTTGGTATTCTCTCTCGTGCTTCTTGATGATGCATGCAACGCGTCATGTCAAATTATCGTCTATAAGATTTTTTTATTTGTTAAACTTTGCTCTTCACCTCCTCTGAATCCGGTAAAGAAACTGCGATGGGAGTTTTCCCTAGACTGTACTTGCCTAGTTGTGCTTGCGGGAGTTGAGCCTCGGCTCTGGTCTCGCCTCTCAACCGTGAATCAACTGGTGTACAGGTTCCTGAGCCAGTTAAGCTCTCATATCTATACTTGAAACTGTGTATGGAGTCAGCCTCCACCACATCACTTCCTAGTGCATTCCATTTATTAACTACTCTGACACACAAAATTATTTCTGATGTCTTTATGGCTCATTTGGGCACTCAATTTCCACCGGTGTCCCCTGGTGCGTGTACCCCTTGTGTTAAATAAACTGTCTTTGCCTACCCTATCAATTCCTTTGAGAATCTTGTATGTAGCGATCATGTCCCCACAACTCTCCTGTCTTTCAGCGACGTAAGGTTTAATTCCCGTAGTCTTTCCTCATAGCTCATCTCCTCCTCAGCTCGGGCACTAGTCTGGTGGCAAACCTCTGAACCTTCTCCAATTTAGTTTTATGTTTGACTAGATAAGAACTCCATGCTGGAGCTACATACTCCAGGATTGGTCTGACATACGTGGCATGCAAAGTTCTGAATGATTCCTTACACAAGTTTCTAAAGCACCAGACACCCTCGTGTGTGTCTTATGCTGGCCAACCTGGCATATGCCGCTGATGTTATCCTCTTGATATGGGCTTCGGGGGGACAGGTTTGGTGTGATATCAACCCCCAGGTTCCCCCACCTCTAGCTCTTTCTTTCTCGTACTCTTTCTCTCTTTCTCTTTCTCTCTCGCTCTCTCTGATTCTAGAAGAATTTCATCTGCCAAATGATACCTTGTTTCTGTCCTCCTGCTCCCTATACCTATGTTCATTACTTTACATTTGCTCGGGCTAAACTCTAATAACAGTTTGCTGGATCATTCTTTCAGTTTGTCCAGGTCTTCTTGAAGCCTCATGCTGTTCTCTATCTTAACCCTTCTCATAATTTTGGCATCATCAGCAAACATTGAGAAGAATGAGTTTATACCCTCTGGAAGATCAGTTACGTATATCAGTAACAGGATAGGTTCGAGTATAGAATCCTGTGAGACTTCCCTTGTGACTTCACGCCAATCTGAGGTCTCACCCCTCACAGTAACTTTCTGCTTCGTATTGCTTAGGTACTCCCTTATCTACTGGAGCACCCTGCCAGTTACTCTCCCCTGTTTCTCCAACTTATGCACCAGCCTCTTATGGGGTGACTGTCAAACGCTTTCCGATAGTCCAAGAAAATGCAGTCTGCCCAATCTTCTATTTTTTGCTTAATCTGTCACCTGATCGTAGAATTCTATTAAACCCGTGAGGTAAGATTTACCATCACTGAACCCATGTAGGTGGTGTCACGAAGTCCCTTCTCTCCAGAAGTGTTATTGGGTTTTTTCTCTCGATCTTCTCCATCACCTTGTATGGTATACAAGTTAAGGACACTGGCCTGTAATTCAGTACCTCTTGCCTGTCACTTTTTTGTATATTGGAACTACATTAGCCATCTTCCATATTTCTGGTCTTCCAAGGTCTTCCATGATGGTGTGAGTGAGTGAGTTTGAGAGACCCAAGAGCGGCCAGTTTTATGTTTCAGCGCCTCAGTGTCGCTGTTCAGAGGGGAAATGCGTGCTGTATCTTGGGTTCGCACCCGACCCATGGCATCTTATACAGCAAGATTCAAAACACTAGCTGCTCACTTTAACTACACCTGCAAGATATCGCGACCTCGATTAAGAAATTACTCGGGAGGGGGGGGGGGGGTCGTAGTATATGGTTTACAACAAGCGTTAGCAGACCCAAACAAATAATGGGTGAAGAAAGCCTTATTCTTCTTAATGGCCGACTCGAATCCATGGGTGAGCCTTATCAATAATCAATACCTTTCGACTGTTTGACTTTCTCTCGGGTCGACCTAGAAGAGGAACTCTATTGACTCTTCAACAACGAAATACATACAGCGAGTAATGCTACACTTTTGTTAGTGGAAGGAAGGCAGATATATACATAGTGGATGTGCAGATTTCAGGGAGATATTTTAGTGTTTACATATAATAGTTTGCTAACACGTGTACATAAAAACAAAGGGGAATTAGTGTTACTTTACGCAAGTGTCGAGAGGAAATGAATGCCAACAGTTTCAACAATTACTTCGTTGATGTTAATGCCGTTTGTGCACGAGGATCGGTGCACTGTGCATGATGTGAGAGAATGGTCTCTCAAGAGTCTCCCACCGTCCTTGTGCACTACTTCAACCCAGGGGACTATGGGGTCGTGCTTGTAAAGAGTCTCGAAGTGAATGGCTACTAACAAAGTCGTATACATTATAATCTCATGATAATATAAGCATAACGAAAACGTACACAGATGGCACAGGTTTAATTTGTAAATACATCAGCTAAATATGCACTCTTCACTAGCAGTGTTGACACGAATCATCATTCTACTTAGTATTGAGAGGATATTGACTAGTCCTTAACACTGTACTTAAGCATAGTGATGCACACAGTTGTAATTAAGCATACTTATGCACGCAGTTTGCATACGCAATATCGTTGCAACTTAAGAGAGGTGATGAGGGGCAAGCTCCCCTCACTCTGTGAGTGGGGCAAGCTCTCCTCACTCTGTGAGTGGGGCAAGCTCTCCTCCTCACTAAGGCCTGGGGTCTCGTACTGGAGACCACTGCGCGCACCGTTTTCGAATCCGGCCAGAATTACTTGGGCAGAAGTCACGCGGGTGAAAAACGGTACTGGTGGCAATGGACACACTAGAGGGCGGGAGGTTTTAGAAAGGGGAGATAACGGGGAGAGGAAAGAGAGGTAATGTGCGTGGGAGGGAAGGAACGGAGGTAATGGGAGATGTCGTGGGGGAGAGGAACAGAGGGTAAGAGTAAAGGTGGATGCTTGACGCCACGGATAAAAAAAATTTATCGTATTTATCTTTCACTTAAGGGTAGTTAGTGAGCCTCGTGTGTGTGGGCCTCGGTCTGGCGGGGGAGAGGGGGGGCCTCGGTCTGGCGGGGGAGAGGGGGGGCCTCGGTCTGGCGGGGGAGAGGGGGGGGGCCTCGGTCTGGCGGGGGGGCCTCGGTCTGGCGGGGGAGAGGGGGGGCCTCGGTCTGGCGGGGGAGAGGGGGGGCATCGGTCTGGCGGGGGAGAGGGGGGGCATCGGTCTGGGGGAGAGGGGGGGGACCTCGGTCTGGTAGGAAGACCGCTTTTGTGTGTAGAATACGGGGAGTGATGAAGGGCAATAAATATGATTGAGTGGCGCACGTGTCGGAGATCAGGGCGTCCTCGCTGCCAGTTACAGCCGCAGACTTGGACACATCCTCGTCACAGATGGTCTAACCAGGTCTCTGTTAACTCGTTATCCTTTGCATTTAAATGGAATGATTGACACTAAACGCAGATCCGCATCATGTATCAGGGCGCCTCTCTGTAGTCGCGTCGCTGCCCGAGGTTATGGATACAAGTCGCATCGTTCACCAGATGGCTCGCCAATGGATTTTAAAACCTAATCTAACTAATCCAAACCAACCTAATCTATCCCAACCGAGCCTAATCTTAGCTAATACGTCCTAACCTAATGATATATGCAGTTTAGAAACGGTAAACAAGCTTTGTTGAATACTCTTGAGTGAGATTTGTCCAAGTGCCCTTGTTACCTACAACTGGGACTCCAGCAAAGTCCGAGGTTAGCGGTAATATATTCGTTTATGCTGGTAACTTTGGATTCTCTCGCCAACAGTGACGGGGGAGCAGCCCTTCCGGGACAAGTACCTGTTTTACCGGTTCCTGGAGGACGCAGCAGCGGCGCCAGGAGTGGCTCCGGTGATGCCTTCGCCGTCAGAGAGACGCGAGGCTGAGGACCGACTCACTCCCATCTTGGCCTTCCTCCAGCAGCGAGCTCCGGACTCCATGCTCAGGATGATCCTCAGGAAGCCGTGAGTCTCGCACCAGAGTACCCGTCTTTCCCCCAAAGTACCTGTGCACCTCTCCACACCCCCTCGCATTTCAGATAACACAATCAGACCGCTGTCTGTGACCATCAGGTCCATTTCCCTTCTCTTCCTCCATCTGCTACCGTTCCTCACTGTATCACTCTCTCCTCATCTCATGGTCCTCATTTTCCCTTCCTTATAACCCAGTCTTCTCCAGCTGTGTATTTTAACGCCTCATGGCTGTCCTTTCTTCTCCTACAGAAGCCACGAGCGGACCATTGAAGACCAGGAACTCATTTATGAGGAGCTGCTCCATCTCAAGGCTCTCTCCCATCTCTCCAACTCCGTCAAGAGAGAGCTCGCCTCTATCATAAAGTTCGAGTCCCACTCCAGAGAGGGCACTATATGTAAGTTGTGTGTAAATGACTCTCACTGTGAACATTTGATTCCATAAATTGTAATTCTCACTCTCTCACACATTCACACACACATTCACACACACACACACACACACACACACACACACACACACACACACACACACACACACACACACACACACACACACACTCTCTCACTCTTTCTCTGTATATATATATGTGATATATATATATATATATATATATATATATATATATATATATATATATATATATATATATATATATATATTATAATTATAATAATAATAATTCACTTAGACCCTAGGAGCATCGAACCGCCGACCCTCAAGAGCGGGAGACGGTAGCTTTATCAACCACGCTATACTGAATAGCCACAATAAGGAAGGATTCCAAGAGCACCTAACTGCTGCCCAACTGGAACTTTAAGCTTTCCCTGTGCTGCCACTCCAGCATGGAGGAACTGAGTGATCCACGTCCCAGAGGAGTCAGTTGAATCCCAGGTTACATTACTTGTACATAACGTGGCCTAATGGTTCAGGGCAGGCATGTCAAACATGCCCGGTCCCCGCCTGGTCGAAGACCGGGCCGCGGGGACGCTAAGCCCCGAAACCACCTCAAGGTATGTGGGGGGGGGGGCCTTTTCAAGTACACCTTCGGCCCGCACAAAGGATAGGGTAGTTTGGTCATTTTACGGCCAAAATTACAGGTTTTGTAATTTAAACCGTCACCTTTGAATAGATTTCTAAAGCTCAAGAGAAACACGAATGCAGCTATGAGGCAAGCGAGATAAGACTTCTACAAATAGACATAACGTTAACAGTTAAGCTGGCCTAGATTTTGTTTCATTTTTTAAACCTGTGATTTTATTTTTTGAATTGATTTTTTATTTTTTTAGATTCTACATCATTTCTGATCAAAGTGGGAACTGCACAGATATTTCTGCCACACAGCAAAAAGTGTCATTAAAAAAGTGTCAAGCCTCAGGACAAAAGACTAAAAATGACTGAATAGTCGTAAATAAATGTTCACTTTAAACTGTTGTAATTTTTGTGCAATGTATTTGTTGCTGTTGCATAGGAGTCTGTGTTACCGTTTAAAATTTATTTTTCTATTTTTTGTTAAACTACTTCATTACTTTGCATTCATGATTGTGGCCAGCCGATAAACTATTTGCATGCCCATTGAATGTTTCTAAGTTTAAGTAATAAAAATATTCCGCAATAATTTGTATTAAATGACTTCAATTAGTTATCGTGTGTGGCCCTCGTGACATTACATATGTGACCCATATGGCCCTCGGGGGACTCTGTTTGACATGTCTGGTTTAGGAGGGGTATGTTTAGACGTACCCAGTGTGCAGGTTCGAATCCTCCCCATGGCTCCTAATTTTCTCGTAAGTCACATTGTTGGACCTGTCCTTTGAGTGGAGCCTGTTCCATCGCCTTGTTAAACCATTTACGTTCATTGGCGAGTCTGGGTCATTCCATCATTGCCTTGACACTCGCATAAAGAACCATTGTTGTTCATGCAAGTTGTAAATATGCTGTTGTTACTGAAGACACCAATGTTTCCCTCATAGGCTGCCTCCTCGAATATGGTAATGAACGCGGTCTCTGGAGACAGGTATTCAGAGCGAGTCACCCGTGTTTCCCTCTCTGGTGCGGCAGTGTTCAGGTGGTGTGGTTACCGCTTACTGTCGTTGTCAGCAGTGTCGGCTACTGATGCAGGACCCTCGGTCTCTTCCCGCACAGTGTTCCAGCAGGGCTCCGAGGGCAAGTCATGGTACATTATCTTGCGGGGGTCTGTCAACGTCGCCATCCACGGCAAGGGCGTCGTCAACACCCTGCACGAGGGAGACGACTTCGGCAAGCTGGCTCTCGTCAACGACGCCCCCAGGTACACCACCCTCTACTCCGTACTCCATCTCTTTATCCTTCCCTTCCCCCTCTCTCCCTCCTCTTCTTCCTTCCTCCTCCTTCCTCCCTTTGTAACTTTTGTAATTCTCGACCTTCTCTTAATTCTCTTGTTTCTCTTCATTCCTCGAGCGCTGTCTACTCAGCCGCGAGGCCATGTCAGAAAAGTACGTACGTACGTGTGTGTGTGTATAAATTAAAAGGTTCCAACAGTCTTGGAAAATCCTGGATTTTGTTTTCAACTTTGTTCAAGATGACAACAAAATTATCACTCCTGTCGGCTATTTCAATTTTCTGGATCGTGAGGTTGATGAATGAAACTGACTAAGGGAAGAACGACGACAAGGAGGGGTCGTGGTAGTTGTAATGTTGGCACCACTGAACGCCGAGGGGTCTAGTCGTCTTTCTTATCTGTGCTTCATTCACTTCCAGCGACGCATGCGCTTTGATCTTGTAGAGGCAACAGTCAAGAAATGACCAGATGGGACCACTGAGGCGCATCCTCTCAAGCAGCCTGTGGTGTTTGTGGGGACGTAGACCCACCGGGGGAACTACACTGATAGCCATCAGGCACATCTTTTTCCATGACCATCCAGCCTCTGTTGTAAACATGACATAACTTTGTCAAGATCAGTCGGGAAAGTGCCGCGGAATCATTCATCAATTAGATTTGTGTGAGACTCGGTGAACATGCAGGTACACGCCTACTCGCCCCCCCCCCTCCGTCAACCCTCTTGTAAGAGTTCCTTTTGATTTCCATGTTAATTAACTCTCAGGTCATGTGGTGGTCCGGGAGTTAGGACCAAGCTCTTGGTTCACGCCTGAAACCCTCCCGAGAAACCTAATTACCCCCCCCCCCCACGATAACACTTAAAATTTTTGTTTTTAAATACCGCTTCTAGTTATTTAAAAACAGTTTCTCCAGTATACTCCCTCTAGCAGAGAGTTGTGCCCGCGACAAACGGTGCTGCAGTTTCTCTTGATAATTATACACACAAGGAAATGTCGTGATATATCTGTGGGACTCATTGAAGCAGAATGGGGATCCTACATGCGTCCTGGGTCACCCCAGCTGCGCGCTTTAACCCATGGACCGCGATATGGGTTTAGGCACGCCTCCGGATTACCCAGGGCGCTCGTTCGATCCCCATCCTGCTACAAGATTTTTATTCCAATTACCTACGTAGATTGAGGAGCATTACGTGTGAGGACTTGTGTACAGCTTGGCAATTCTTAACCCTCTCTTCTCCTCTCTCTTTAAGATCTCCCATAAGAACCTTATTTGTTTCTCCACTAGCATACCATTCCCCCTTCCTCTCCTGTAGGGGCTCCTCTACCCTTCCTCTAGCATCCTCTCCTGTAGGGCTCCTCTACCCTTCCTCTAGCATCCTCTCTTGTAGGGGCTCCTTTACCCTTCCTCCAACATCCTCCCCTTAAGACGTCTTGTGAGCATCGTGGTCCTCACTGCTGTCCTCTCCGGCAGGGCGGCCACCATCATCCTGCACGAGGACAATTGCCACTTCCTGCGGGTCGACAAGGGTGACTTCAACCGCATCATGAGGGACGTGGAGGCCAACACGGTCAGACTCAAGGAGCACGGCCACGATGTGCTGGTGCTCGAGAAGATCTCCTCCAACGCCCACTCCCACTCCCACTATAAGTAAGTCTTACAGAACTTTCTACGCCCTACTGGCTTACCGCTTCACCCTCATCATTACTTGCAAGTAAATCCTCGAATATTTAGTGACAGCGTCTTGTGGTCAGTTTGCGTTGGGTAAATTTTGTTTTAACGAGGTCATTGGCTTTGTATTAAGGCGCGAGAGAATCCTAGTCATGCATTACCTTAAGGACTTCTATTGGGTGGAACGTTATTCCTCGAAGACAAAACTAGTCAGCTTATTATTATTGGCCAGAAGAGAGGACCACACGAGACATTTTATTGCCCTCTAGATCATTGGAGCAAGCAATTTCCTACCATAGAAAGGTGGTGTTCCAAGGAGGTGGCTCCTTGAAGTTTTTTTATGTTTTGTAAGACAGGCTGCCATGTCCTCGGCGGCTTGCCTGGCAGACGCAGTTGCTTCACATATCTTCAGCCAGATAAAAGGTGTTAACATGTAGGCGAGTTCATTTCCAGGTGCGAGTTAACTAGTAAATGTTTTCTTGGACCCTGCACTGAGGGTGTGCAACCTAACCTGTCTTTGGCACTAAGTTATAACAGGTTAACCTCCACTCCCAGGCACCCTGCTAACCCACTCCCAGGCACCCTGCTAACCCACTCCCAGGCACCCTGCTTACCCACTCCCAGGCACCCTGCTAACCCACTCCCAGGCACCCTGCTAACCCACTCCCAGGCACCCTGCTAACCCACTCCCAGGCACCCTGCTAACCCACTCCCAGGCACCCTGCTAACCCACTCCCAGGCACCCTGCTAACCCACTCCCAGGCACCCTGCTAACCCACTCCCAGGCACCCTGCTAACCCACTCCCAGGCACCCTGCTAACCCACTCCCAGGCACCCTGCTAACCCACTCCCAGGCACCCTGCTAACCCACTCCCAGGCACCCTGCTAACCCACTCCCAGGCACCCTGCTAACCCACTCCCAGGCACCCTGCTAACCCACTCCCAGGCACCCTGCTAACCCACTCCCAGGCACCCTGCTAACCCACTCCCAGGCACCCTGCTAACCCACTCCCAGGCACCCTGCTAACCCACTCCCAGGCACCCTGCTAACCCACTCCCAGGCACCCTGCTAACCCACTCCCAGGCACCCTGCTAACCCACTCCCAGGCACCCTGCTAACCCACTCCCAGGCACTCTGCTAACCCACTCCCAGGCACCCTGCTAACCCACTCCCAGGCACCCTGCTAACCCACTCCCAGGCACCCTGCTAACCCACTCCCAGGCACCCTGCTAACCCACTCCCAGGCACCCTGCTAACCCACTCCCAGGCACCCTGCTAACCCACTCCCAGGCACCCTGCTAACCCACTCCCAGGCACCCTGCTAACCCACTCCCAGGCACCCTGCTAACCCACTCCCAGGCACCCTGCTAACCCACTCCCAGGCACCCTGCTAACCCACTCCCAGGCACCCTGCTAACCCACTCCCAGGCACCCTGCTAACCCACTCCACCTGCCGCCCTCAGGTATACAGTGATGGCCGGGACGCCGCAGAAGATGCTGGAGCACCTCCTGGAGACGAGGCTGGACGGTCGACGAGGCAGTGCAGGAGTGGAGATGGCCGAGGTCAACCTCAGACGCTGTGACCTCGCCACTACCGACCTCTTCCTCGACGACTTCCTTCTCACTCACATCGTCTTCATGCCCTACCCGCACCTCACCCAGGAGCTCCTCAGACAATATCCTTTTGTGTTTCTTTAATAGGTGGTGGAGGGGAATTTCAGGGTGGAATGTCGGCTGAAGAGAATCCAATACCACCCGTAATTAGCAGAGGGTTACCCAGGCAAAAGGACCAGCTCGTCAGGGCAGTCCTAACAAGTGGCCGGATGGGAGTAACAAATCGGATAAGCATGGCGGCCAATTTTCATTTCGAAACGGAAAAACAAATTGAATTATAAAATATAAATGTAATTAGTTTAGCCCGAAGGCATGCCAGACCCGGTTATCATCTAGGTGGCCTGCACGGAGCTGGTGTTCCTTGCTCGGTAGCTGGACGATGCAGGCCACGGTAGGCCATGGCAGCCCCAAGTACTCACATTTTTCCTCGTCGTAGTTTGTCATAAAATATGTGAAGTGAGGACGGCGCAGGAAGAGCATGGCTGCCTTGTCCTTACAAGAGACCGTGGGGTGGTCACCGCGCTGTTGGCCTCTGTGCTGCCCACTTCCAAAGCCCTCCAATTCCAACGGGAGAGGAATAGGCCAACGGCTGATTAAGGGCTTGCTTTTGGGTGTGAGGATGGGGTGGGCGTGGTGGGAGGTGGGTGTGTATGTGGGAGGGAAGAGTCCGGCCGCAGCAAGATCAAAGAACGCAGTGTTTATAGAACGCACGCTCCAGCCTGCACAACATAATGGATCAAGTTCCATCACAGGATTAGTTATGCATGGAGTGGTAGGGAACACATCCCCGTCCCCAGAGAACATGGTCGGCAGGTCTGGTGTGTGTGAGGGGGGGAGGGGGGGAAGGATTAGCTAACACAGTAGCTAATATCACCACATAGCTCCTGTGGTGATTAGTGCCCCCCCCCCCCCTCCCCCGCTGTTCTCCCTTTAGTACCGTGATGAAATCTAAATCATCAGACAACGTAATCTAATCACTTCATTCCTCCTCGTCCCTTCCTCCTCCTCCTCCTCGTCCCTTCTTCCTCCTCCTCCTCCTCGTCCCTTCTTCCTCCTCCTCCTCCTCCTCGTCCCTTCTTCCTCCTCCTCCTCCTCCTCGTCCCTTCTTCCTCCTCCTCCTCGTCCCTTCTTCCTCCTCCTCCTTGTCCCTTCTTCCTCCTCCTCCTCGTCCCTTCTTCCTCCTCCTCCTCGTCCCTTCTTCCTCCTCCTCCTCCTTCAGCTACAAGGAAGAATGTATCAGGGGAAAGCAATGAAAGAAATGTAAATTATGTGCGTTTGTAAATTGTGTTAAAAAAAGAAGAAATTGTGAAAGAGGAAACACTTTATATAAGGAAAAGTGGATGGAAATTATGATCATCATATAGGAAGGATATCATTGATATATAAAATGTTTCTCTTTTTCTCTCTTTCTCTTTTAATATGTACACATGTACGCAAAAAAACGTTAGTCTCGCTCTAGAAAAATTGTGTTCCTTAATGTGTGGTGCACTTACCGTATGGACAGCCAAGGCAACAGTCAGGACGAGGAGTTCATCGTGGCCAGCAAGAGGAGGGTCATCCACTTCGTACATCGCTGGGTCATGACCATCAAGAACCCCGTCTTCTGTAATGCTTCCGCCACGCAGTTCTTGCAGGTAGGTCTACCGCCCCCCCCCTCTCCTCTCCCTCTCTTCTCTCCTTCCACCCCTCCCCCTATCTTCCTCCCCCAGTATCTCCCATATATTCTCTCTACCCTCCCTGCAGGTCAGTCAACCTGCAGTCTCTCCCTCCTGCTGTAGGCGAGTCATTTTCTATTCTCTCGCATATTTTTTTCGAAATACTACCGTTAATTGTTCTTACTCCTAAGAGGCAAGACTCATTTGCTTAAATGCAGAGTTAATTTTTCTACGGCGTAGCAGCTACCACCTTTAACAGAATGCCGTGAGAAAGTCAGCATATTTACAACGACTTCCGTTGTAATAATTTAAGTTCCGCTTTCAGCGTTTGCTGTACTTCCGGTTCTTGCTCTAGTAAATATATCCTCGTGTCACTATGTACCCGTCCTCTCTCTCCTCAACATCTGTTGGCAAACAGTGGGATTAAACGATCTTTTCTACATACAAGAGTTTACATTCTTGTAAAGCCACTAGTACGCGTAGCGTTTTGGGCAGGTCCTTAACCCTAATTTCCCCGGAATACGACCCCCGCCGAATCGTTTAACCACCAGGTACCCGTTCACTGCTGGGTGAACAGAGGCTACAGTTATAGATTGGCGCCCGGTCAATCCTCCCCGGCCAGGATTTGAACCAAAGCCATAGCGCTTGCGAAACGCCAAGCGAGTGTCTTAATACCACTGCGCCACGGGGACTGCAATCCATCAGCCCAAGCCTCCACCGAAGGGGACAAGCACTCGACAATCAGGTTTTACACTGCCGTTATATACCAACTAATTCGAAAATGTTCCATTCACCTGGGCTCCAGGAGACTCGAACCGCGGACCGCACGCGTGTGAAGCCGAAGCTCTATTGACAGAGCTATTGAGTAGTCTTAATTAATTAATGTTTATTATTATAATGAAATAATGTTTGTGTGGATGGCAATTTTAAATTGGGAAATGTTTTTTGTCTAGGTCACCATAGCTCATGGTGATCAGAGATATGGCTCAACCATTAACCTCGCTGATGATTCCTATCACGGGTAATATATGGAATGGCAATGGCAAGAGCGCAGTGGCAATGCTATTGCCACTGCGCTCTGAACGTGTAGAGGCAACAGTCAAGAAATGACTTGATGGGACCACTGAGGCGGATTCTCTCAAGCAGCCTGTGATGTTTGTGGGGACGTAGACCCACCGGGGGAACTACACTGATAGCCATCAGGCACATCTTTTTCCATGACCGAGCAGCAGCAGCAGCAGCAGCAGAAGACGCATCTTGATGCCGTGACGGTATGGACGCTTGGTGAACAGCTGTGACGAGTCACCGTCACTCCAAGACTCCACATGCCGCGGTTCCCCCCCCCCCCCCCCACTCGGGTTTCACTCCATTTATGCCAACTGTTCCTTCGAGGGACTGTTTTGTTCCACCACTGAGTGTTTTGTTTACCGTTGTGATTTTAAATGAACGAACATTTATGTGTGTAATTTTATTATTTATTATTATTATTATTATTATTATTATTATGCTTTATTATCCATTATTATAATAATTAGTAGTAACAGTAAGCCTTTAATAGTGATTTGATTAATTACTAGGGAACTGTTTGCTACAGAGTTCGTTTTCTACATTTGTTTCTGACTCAATGAAGCTGTTTACTGAATTTTCCCTTCTGGAGACTTTCTTTGCCTCTTTGTCTTCACGGTCATACTAGGTTTGTCTTTGTTGTTGACAAGAAAGAATAAATAGGATAAGGTTTCACAAAACACACACGCGCGCGCGCACACTCAGATGGCCTCTTCACATCTTCCATTTATATGAGCACCGCTATCCTTCCTTCTGCAGACACTGCAGGAGGAGGTGGCCAAGGACGTGGAGGAGTATGGGGTGGCGCTGCGGGACGAGGCTTCACTGATGCTGAGCGTGGCCGAGGCCCTGGAGCGTCACGAGAGGGACAACTCCTCGGCCGGAGTCAGCAAGTGGAAGCTGCCCACCAGCGGCAGACCCATCAGCCTCTTCGGGGTGTCGTCGACGGAGGTCTCGGTGGAGCAGCACAGAGTAATGCGGGCCCAGGACGACAGTAAGGGCAGCGGCATGACCTCCGACGTTTCTCTCTCTCACCCCTTGATGTGCTCCTCTGGTAATGTATGCTCTGCAGCGCATACTCCAGGCCCTTGGTGTGAGGCGGGGCCCTACCTGGTAAAAGAGCAGCGGTTGATTTCCACTGACTAATATATATGGGTTTTCTCACCATACTTGTAGGGGTGGAAATCTTCCTTATCTTTTTTGCAGTGTGAATCCCAAAACTTTATCCAAGGTACTGAGAGTAGTTTATTTTTATTTAAGTTTTTTTTTTTTTTTTACCTTAGTCAACCTCTTTGTTCCTGTCGGTGAGAGATTGTTTAAGTGCTGCTCCTGGCGTATTATTTTTAAACGTGCATTATTTATATTATTTTCATGTAAATACAGAGAAAACATGATGCAAATTTTCGAAATCGTTGTATGTTTTATATTTTCTGACAAATGTTTAGAGAGATGTTAGATCCAGCAGGCAATTACTCACATTAATTAATTTTTTACTTAAAAATAAAGGAATATTTTACTTGCAAATCCAGTTTGATGAGAGTTCGTTATTCTCTTCAACCACGGGTTCAAAAATTCAAGCCACATCCGGGTTATTCCTCATCAACGTTTCAACCTTTGTGATGCCATGCATAGCAACTTTGTGATGCCATGCATAGCAACTTTGTGATGCCATGCATAGCAACTTTGTGATGCCATGCATAGCAACTTTGTGATGCCATGCATAGCAAATGTGAACAATTATTTTAAATGTATTATGCAGCCACTTGTGATGCATTCTGGCACTAAAGTACCATATTCTTTCAAAATGAGTTTGTTTAGGCTGAAACCAAGTAGTCACATTCCTTAACATAACTGTTGTTATAACTTGCATAACTTGCATCTTGCGACTTCTCGTTCTTAACCGTTACACTGCTCAAACCGCCGTATGTGATTTTTTCCAATTTTCTTTTAATTAAAATATGCGCGTTGTTTAAGGGTAAAATATTTTTGCCTTTGGGCAAAAACATATTTAATTGGGCATATATTTAATAAATTAGTAACAGAAATTTCTCCTGAAAGTCATTATATTTAGGCTTTGCATATTGCCCAAATGGTTAATACGATCACTAATAGTGTACTTGCATAGCTATTTTAATGTACAAGTTTAATAGAGTAGTAGTAGTACATCAGTGATAGTTTACAGTGCGATGATAACCCCCATCACAATGCGATGATACACCCACAACGCGATGATACACCCACAACGCGATGATACACCCACAACGCGATGATACACCCACAACGCGATGATACACCAAAAACGAGCTGACACACCCACAACGCGATGATACACCCACAACGCGATGATACACCCACAACGCGATGATACACCCACAACGCGATGATACACCCACAACGCGATGATACACCCACAACGCGATGATACACCCACAACGCGATGATACACCCACAACGCGATGATACACCCACAACGCGATGATACACCCACAACGCGATGATACACCCACAACGCGATGATACACCCACAACGCGATGATACACCCACAACGCGATGATACACCCACAACGCGATGATACACCCACAACGCGATGATACACCCACAACGCGATGATACACCCACAACGCGATGATACACCCACAACGCGATGATACACCCACAACGCGATGATACACCCACAACGCGATGATACACCCACAACGCGATGATACACCCACAACGCGATGATACACACCCACAACGCGATGATACACCCACAACGCGATGATACACCCACAACGCGATGATACACCCACAACGCGATGATACACCCACAACGCGATGATACACCCACAACGCGATGATACACCCACAACGCGATGATACACCCACAACGCGATGATACACCCACAACGCGATGATACACCCACAACGCGATGATACACCCACAACGCGATGATACACCCACAACGCGATGATACACCCACAACGCGATGATACACCCACAACGCGATGATACACCCACAACGCGATGATACACCCACAACGCGATGATACACCCACAACGCGATGATACACCCACAACGCGATGATACACCCACAACGCGATGATACACCCACAACGCGATGATACACCCACAACGCGATGATACACCCACAACGCGATGATACACCCACAACGCGATGATACACCCACAACGCGATGATACACCCACAACGCGATGATACACCCACAACGCGATGATACACCCACAACGCGATGATACACCCACAACGCGATGATACACCCACAACGCGATGATACACCCACAACGCGATGATACACCCACAACGCGATGATACACCCACAACGCGATGATACACCCACAACGCGATGATACACCCACAACGCGATGATACACCCACAACGCGATGATACACCCACAACGCGATGATACACCCACAACGCGATGATACACCCACAACGCGATGATACACCCACAACGCGATGATACACCCACAACGCGATGATACACCCACAACGCGATGATACACCCACAACGCGATGATACACCCACAACGCGATGATGATCACCACCCACAACGCGATGATACACCCACAACGCGATGATGATCACCACCCACAACGCGATGATGATCACCACCCACAACGCGATGATGATCACCACCCACAACGCGATGATGAGCACCACCCACAACGCGATGATGATCACCACCCACAACGCGATGATGATCACCACCCACAACGCGATGATGATCACCACCCACAACGCGATGATGATCACCACCCACAACGCGATGATGATCACCACCCACAACGCGATGATGATCACCACCCACAACGCGATGATGATCACCACCCACAACGCGATGATGATCACCACCCACAACGCGATGATGATCACCACCCACAACGCGATGATGATCACCACCCACAACGCGATGATGATCACCACCCACAACGCGATGATGATCACCACCCACAACGCGATGATGATCACCACCCACAACGCGATGATGATCACCACCCACAACGCGATGATGATCACCACCCACAACGCGATGATGATCACCACCCACAACGCGATGATGATCACCACCCACAACGCGATGATGATCACCACCCACAACGCGATGATGATCACCACCCACAACGCGATGATGATCACCACCCACAACGCGATGATGATCACCACCCACAACGCGATGATGATCACCACCCACAACGCGATGATGATCACCACCCACAACGCGATGATAACCGCCACCCACAACGCGATGGTAACCGCCACCCACAACGCGATGATAACCGCCACCCACAACGCGATGATAACCACCACCACACATGAAAATATAAAAAGTGACAAAGTTTCTGTTCGTGTTTATTAGTGCTCTATATTCCACTTCCATTACCACCAAATTCATTGTGAAATTCTCCCGGGGTAGACCTAGAATAATCTTAAACCATCTTTGTATTTGTTTTTTTTTCTAGTGCAGTATTGCAACGAGTCTAGACATTGCTCCGTAGTGTGCTTGCTAGTGAGCCTCTGTAACAGGCACAGTAACAGAAACATCAGTACTGTTCCATGCTGTGTTTACTGCTCTAGCTGTTCAGTGTCACGCATCTTGTTGGAAACTCTTAAGTAAATTTTTAGTTTGTTGCTATTCCATTTAGATATTTTATTTGCACTTTATAGCGCACGTACATGTTGTGTCCTGAGCATCTGTTATCTATTGCCTGCCCCCAAATTTCCTGTCCGGCACTTGTGCCTAAACCCTTTATAATGCTTTATATAATATTGTCTTCTCTTACCACCCCCTTATATATTGTAATTGTTTATTTTGTTTAATCTTTATTACAAAAAAAAGTTGCATATAAGGTACAAAGTTGACTATCACAAGTTGTCGAGTTCCTCCAGCTCCTCAGATGGCGGGCAGGAACCCTGAATGCAGTGTGCATTTCCCATCAGTATCGCCACGCTGAGGCGCTGGAAAAGGAAGCGCTTGGATCTCTTATTTCAATAGTCCAGAACCTAGTTTCTTAAAAAAAAAAAATAAAAAAAAAAAAAAAAAAAAAAACTGACACCCCAGGCGCCAAGTGTCTCGGAAGCAATGAAGACAAAACTGAAGGATTGATCCAGTTCTCTGTACTTACCTTACGGGACTTGGCTGAGTTTTTGTTTTTCTTTCATTTGGCTCTTAAAATGAACTTAATATCATGAAAACCACTCGAGTCTTATGTGATCTGGTCGAGTCGTCTCTATTCATACATTGGTAACATTTCACGAGAATGTTAATACTGGTAAGGGCTATCTACATTGCTTTACATTTTCCTATCTCCTCTAGTCTGATTGGTAGCATCGCGTGGTCTCAAACACAGTCATCCAAGTGCCATTCTAAATATTTATTTTAGGAGGTTGTCTTATTCCCTCAGATTCGGATTGTGGCAATTGGGTGCACACTTTAAATGTGTATTAATTAACCTAGGCATACATTTAACCTAGGTTAAATGTATGTTAATCTAGGTACCTGTTGTGAACAAGTACAGAGCATCGTGAACATTCAAATCGAATATTCGCTTATCAGTCCTCTTCAAGTCATTTAATTTCTCCTCCTCCTCCCCTGGCTTTGTCACCCATCATTGCTCTAAGTGTGCTGTCAGCAGGTAAAATGGTTGAGGCTTCGGATAAAATGTATCTTGCTGCATGCAGTTACTTCACACTTGGAAGGATTAATGACGAGATCCAGAGTCTCTCATTAGGTATGTTCCTGCTGTTGATCTGATAGCAAGAACTCGTGTGTATACCTGCCATGGTGCCATCATATAGGAACCAGATGTTCAGCTTGGTAGTCGGTCAACTTGTGGTCTCTTGAACAGCTGTACAGGGGCCAAGGGGTTTTCCTGTTGGACTCATTCTGCTGGATTCATTTCATTCTCACCAAACAAGTTTCGAAACTTTGCTGTACCCTGCTGACACAAGGGGGGATGAAGGCTTCGGAATTGTTCCTTAAAATATTTCATAGCTCTTACTGTTTTATATATATCAGAATGTCTTTCCGAGGTTGGAGGCCAGATGCTTGTAGCCTCGTCCAATTATTTCGACTCTCTTCCATACGCCTCTGCCTCCAGCGACAGATAGATGGATGGAGACAGACACAGACACACAATGTGACAGATACAGAGAGAAAGGATGTGTTGTCAGACATTGTGATTCTGCATGCTCCCATTTATTATCGTTATTTCTCGGCATTTTTCTTGGGTTTGTTTTTGGTGGAATGATGCCGGGTCGACTCGCTCAAGAAGTCTACGGGCACAGCCAGATATCCCAGCTACTGTGTGTGTGCGTGTGTGTGTGTGTGTGTGTGTGTAAATTTGAATGTCTGTGCAATGCTTGAGGCCAGACACATGCGCTAGCCTCACCGCATTTTGAACAGAAATTGCTGTTGGGTATTGGCACACACAGGTGCATAACATTAATCAAATGAAAATATTATGGCATGGTGCCATGTGAACGTGGCAAGTCTTAGGCTGCCATGACCTTGAAAACGTTATAACAAATCTTGCTTCTTAGTGAAACATTAGCCACTGATGTAGGTAAAATTTACAAATTAATTCTACCTAGCATACATTGCCCGTAATATACAAATATCTATAAATGTTGATGACATCACCCTCCCACTGCCTCACCCTCCATGCTTACCACTCCACTGACATCCCTCAATGTACATCTCACTCTCACGATCATGTGCTCCAAACCTGTATCTCTGGCATGTGAGAGAAAGAGATATAAAGATGAGAGAGGGAGGGAGGAGAGGTGACTGACATAGATTGACATAGACATTGACATATACTGACTGACTGCTACACACACACACTAAGCAGATACAGATAAAGTGGGTGGGAGGGAGAGAGAAAGGGCGCACGCCACAGAAAGACAAGAGACATAAACAAATAGAAAAGCAGTGAGTGACAATAATGCACAGAAAGACAGAGAAACAGACAGAGAGAGAGAGAATGTTCTTCAGATGGGAATGAAGTTGGAAAAATAATCCTCTAAAGTTTATTACTAATTTATGTATCTTCCTCTCCCATGGCAGTCATCTTCCGGGTGTACTGCGCCGACCACACCTACTGCACCCTCAGGTTCTCCCTCCAGACGACTAGCGACGTCATCAAGAGGTCCGCCGCCGACAAGCTGGGTATTCGTCAGGAGAACCTGCTGCTGGTGGAACTGAAGTCGACTGGTGCGTGGGGGGTACTTTGCGTATTGATAGCCTAGTGTATTTTATCCTGCAGGGAGGTAGAGCTAAGAGGACCGGTGATTATACAATCACCTGCCGCATGCAACACACTAGTGATCAGAGGAGGCTATCAACATTAGAGACCATATTCCTTTCTTGTTGTTGAAGATTCGCTACTTGGAACAAAAAGTTCCAAGCAACACGGGCTATGGTGAGCCTGTAGGCCATATTCCTTCGAGAACTGACACTAGTAAATAGCATTCAAATAAACTCAACATCGAGCATACAATAGTTTGATGGGCCTCCTTTCATGTAGACACGATAAGACCCTGTAGACAACTATTAGCTTTAGTAAGGCAGCAATTGCTCCTCCCCCCCCCCCCCTCGCCTTATTCTTTGGCACTGTCTACGACTAAGGATTTCCAAATGTGGTTTGTTTTTGTTTGCCTCATGTTTTTGTCATGTAAGGATTACAGCCCCGCTCCTGTGTCAGGTATGTCCACTAAGGACTCACCATAGCCCGTGCTACTTGCTACTTTTGTTCAGAGTAGCTGAATCTAAAACAACAACAATGTCGTGTAAGCTTAGTCAGTGTCCCTAATGTCAAGTGTGTGTACCTGAAACTGTCCATTGCCGACGAAACGTCGAAGAAATCAAATGGAAAAGTTTAAGTGATTTAGTGTTTCTTCACTCTCTAGAATGTAGTGGGTAGAAGGTATTTATATAGACAGGAAATATATAAGAAAATGAGCAATTGTAACCATGCTGTTCTCTACCTCGGCACCCTGCTGTTCTCTACCTCGGCACCCTGCTGTTCTCTACCACGGCACACTGCTGTCTTCCTCCCGCCTGCGTCTCGTCACCCAGACCACTACACAGTGGGTCAAGGTGTAGGGGGGTTGTTGCTGCCTTTGAGGCCGTAAGCAGAGATGCTGAGGCGGTGGCTCTGAGATCACTCTAAGCAGTCACATGTGCAGCTCGGCACTTCATATGTATGCAGATATACATATAGGTGGCATTTGTTGGTGTTTTCCCTCTAGCCACGTCTCCTATGCAATGTTTGCATCCCTTGTCTAGTTGAATATATCTTGAAGTATTATAATTAGATTTATGATTGTTCCAACCAATTTACGCCGTGTGATCCCAGTTAAAAAAATATAGGGATTGATTTATGAGGAGAAATACTTAGAATTAGTACTGCACTAAAGTAAAAATTACTATGCAAAATTAATACTACTAAAAGTCCCTAGCTTGGGTTGTAAATCCTACTCCTCTTGTCCTAGTGACACTGGGCTGTAGGGGGCAGGTGGGACTCTAAGGGTGAGTAGAGTTGTTGATTGGAGATCTACATCCACCTGCAGACATCTCAACATATCAGCTTGTATTTAAAAAAAAGGGTGAAATTAAATAACTCAGTTCTGTGACTGAACACTGGTTCAGCTCTAGATCAAGGATCTGAACAATATACAGTCTAGCTTAGCACTTATTATTATTCAATATGATAAACTTGTATGATAAATTAATGATAACTAAGTTAGCAATTGTTAACTTGATGTATAAGATCAATTATATATATACAGAGATATTCAAATTTATATTAAAAGATTGTCAGACATTTAATAAATTCAAGCATGTGTGTCAAAATTCAAGTAAAAGTTGCTGAAAGATTAAATCCAAACTCACTGAAATGTAGGGATTTGCCCCACGGTGTAACGATTAACAATTGATATAGACATATTAAGGTTATATTATGATGCATGCAATTGGCAAATCAACACACTACAAATAACACTCAAAACTTATCCAAAAATTGAGGACCGGAGCCTCATCCAACTAGTTGCCGGACGGTATGATCTCTCTTGAGGAGACAGGCGCTATATTTTTATGTCACAGCTTTGCTGTTGGCGATTCTGGTAGCTTTGCTAGTTGATTATATCCTTAGTAGCTTTGCTGTAGGATAGCATTAAGATGATTGTGTGGTGGTGGAGGTGGCATCACTGACATGTGCCACTCTACACTCTTATTTAGATAAACATATTAGGAATTTTCCCAATATATATATATATAGTCTAGGAACTACCCCCAGTATCTAAAGAGCTATGACTGGTGATATAAGATTAGTTTGTGTGGTGTACATCCTATATTAAAGGTCTTTGACACTAACACGTGCTTCCACTGTTTATAAACAAACGGTCTCGCCTCAGGCCATGCTCAGGACGCTTGATCTCCGAGCAGGCCCCTCCCTCCTGGTCTGGCAGGGAGACCTATAATATTGATTATTTTTATTGTCTAGACAGATTGAGATAAAATGTGATTATAACATAATTAGATATAGGATTTAAAGATTATAAGTAGTACTTAATAGTACCATTGATTCTTATTAAGGATTTAATTTAATCCTCACTGGAAATCGATTGATTTTCCAATTGATTTTTAATTAATAGGTTCTTTTAGAACCTTCTAGATCCTTGATAAATCATGCACGATGTCATGTAGGCACATATGGGCCCAATGACGTACGTGATCATTGTAGTATTGTCATGTAGGATCTAGTTGATGTAGGATATAATGAATCTGATTTGATTCTGATATAGAAGTATAGAAATAATGCATTTGTTAGATAATAATATTAATAAAGTGGGTAAAGATTCTCACAACCCCGCCCCCCCTGACACGCCGCGTGACACCTGTGCCGCCCTCACGAGTTCTTACCCTACAGGGGAGGTGGTGCCCCTCCGGGAAAAAGAGGTTTGCCCTCCCACGGGTCTCAGCCTCAACGGGCGTCTCTTCATCTCCAACAAGGACCACCTCGACGCCCTGGTAGGTGTACACAGGACCTGTCTTACACGGGATTTGAGAGAAGCTTTGAGGTGTATATTTTAGGTAGACTGTATTATCTCTAAGGTGCAGGTGGTCCATAAGTGTACATAATGGTGGCATGTGTGGTGCTGTTATTGTTGCATTACTTGGTCGCTTTTCTCTCCCGCCACCACCCTGCTGCCCCTCCACCGCCACCACCCTGCTGCCCCTCGTCCACCACCACCCTGCTGCCCCTCGTCCACCACCACCCTGCTGCCCCTCCTCCACCACCACCCTGCTGCCCCTCCACCGCCACCACCCTGCTGCGCCTCCACCACCACCCTGCTGCCCCTCCTCCACCACCACCCTGCTGCCCCTCCTCCACCACCACCCTCCAGATGCCACTTCCTGAGCAGGAGGGTCCGTCGGAAGGGACGATCAACCAGCTGGAGATGTACAGCACGCGAGAGCTGGCCTACCATGTCACTCTCCACGACTGGGACCTCTTCAGCGCCATTCACGAGGTACAGCTTCCAGGACCCGACATGCTGGTGTGGGCTAATTTCCTAGCAGGCAGTAATGTGCTTTTTATTTTACTTATTTAATTACTGATTTACTTTATATTTATTATTTATTGGATTTATTTGATATTATTACTTCAAAGTTGACTATTTTAATATTTATACTGTTGGGTGTTTTACCTGAACACAAGTAGGGGGGTTTATATAGTCTATTCTACATATGGTGGATATTGATAGTCTACAATTATGTTCTACACTTTAAAGGGTTAATATTACTGTTAAGGGATTAATTAAGTGATTTAGGCCTCGGCTGTATGGTTGAGAGAGAGAGAGCTGGTCCCTAAACATCAGACTTTGGTATGCCACGTGTGGTCCAGGTCCTGGGCCACCTAATGGCGGGTGTTAGTCTTTGTTAAGGCAAGGCTGGCGTCTGTTTAGCTTCTTGCAGGTGGCCTGCTCAACTGATGTCTCATGGATCACAAGCTTACCTGCCAACAAATTGTACTGTAACAATTGCACAAAAACATGTAAAGTACAGGTTTGACACATGAAATGAAGAGGTGTAATATAATAATGAGGCTTACACTTGGTTTGGGCTTTGCCCTCTATATAACCGAGATGAACTATTTAAATTATCAGGTCTTCTAATTTGTGTAATATATATATATATATATATAGATATATAGATAAACCGGAAATAAAGGTACTTTCGTTGTTAGTGAGATCACTATGGCAGTTTCACGGTTGGTCGACTTCTAATTTTGAGTCTTTGACGTGATGGGTGTCGCAAAAATCCCCACGAGGAGCCCTCTTCTTCTACTGGATAGTAGGTGCAGTTTGCATGAAGGGCATATCTTCCCGATGACTGCGCCAGGACGGATGTTAGGAGTCGCACGTATGTGGAGAATGATAAGGGTCAAGAGTTGTGAGGAGCCGTAGACAGAGGAGCGGCGACGAAAACAGAGGTAGACGGGAGAGGGAGACAGGCCGCACCAGAGGGCGGCACGTTGTGTCCATGACGTAGACTATTATTTACCAGGGAACTCCCACATCGGAAAGCGCAAGCAGTACGCTTCCCACAGCAGTATGTGGGCAGAGGACGCCCGGCCGCCAGGCAGCGCCATCGGCGGAGGCATCTTATCCGGCACCCCATAAACAAACTCCTTCACCCGCGGCACCCAGATAGTGGAAGAGCACCAGGGGACCGGAAGCACCCGGGCATCCCGAGAAAAGCCCAACACCCGACCCGCACGGGTCATGACCTAGGCAGTCTGGACTAGGCTCCCCCCAGACGGGGCAACCGCAGGGGGACACAGGCATGGCATTGTCCCCGCCACTGAGCACAGGAGCCAAGGCCCCTTAACACACACCCTCCTTCAGCACCATGACGAGGTCCCGATCACCAGGGGGCAACCCCCCCACCGCGGGGATCCAACAGCAAGAGGCGCAGGGGGAGCCCAACTCGGAGCCCCTCACAGCCTCGCCACCGACGCTGCGGGACCCCGGAGCATCATACCCCCCCCCCCCCCCACCTCCTCCCAAGGCACACCACGAAAGGGGGAGACACTCAGAGCCCACCGCGACTGCTTCGAGACAAGTTGCACCACAACACTCCTACCAGGCCCCTCCGCAAGCATAGCCATCACCGCATCCATACCGTCCACACCCACACGGTCCACACCTACACCGTCCGAAGAATCCACAGAGGCCACATCGCTCACACTGTCGACGTCATCTAGAGAAAATAGCCTCGGAACACCGGCGTGCACGTTTCTGCAAAGGGATGGAAGCATCAGAACAACAGTCGTCGAGACACATAGGCATGGCAGGCACCTTCCCCAGGCCGAAGCACCCCCTCCAAAACAGAAGAACCCGCGGCCCCAGGAGCCAGGATTACATCCATGGGTGGGGGCGGAGGACCTCCACAGGGACATCCTCCACTATACGCAGCGCAGGCGATGGCCTGACACCCACACACACACCGGCTCAACAACCCCAAGGGCGACGGCAGTTACCAGACGGGTCGCACAAGCCGTAGAACCGGCTGCAACAGGCGGAGCAGCAGACAGGCAATCAGGTGCCTCAGGCACAGTACCCATACCGTCCTCAGAACTGGCCGAATGCAACAGGGGGTGGAAAATATTCTGCAAAAAAAATATGCATCCTACCAGTTGCTCCCACGTCGCACGCAGAAGCCAGATGACCCTCGTGACCACACCTATAACAGGTGTGCAGTTGCCCCCGATACAGGCAGCGGAGCGTGTAACACAACTTGGACACCGACGACAGGACCCTACACTTCAGCGACATCGTCAGGGTGTGGGAGCCATCAAGCATACCAGCACAGTGCCCGGCAAGGACCTTGTTCCAACGAGCACTTAACACAGTCCCAAACCGTTCAAAACAGGAGGTAAAAGTTAAATGCCCGAAACGCTTTGCGTAATAGTGGCTTTAGGCATTGTATGTACTAGCTCCTATCTATAAAGCCAACAAACTTTGTAAAATCTCTTTATGTATGTACCTTTGCCTAAATAAAAATTATTATTATAAATTATTATTATAAAAGATCGTCCTGAAATTCGAAGGGGGTACCATGCACCGCCATATATGTCGAGGCGACACTAAGATTCACCACTTAAACAGAACCAGTTGTATCAGGGAGAGGGTAAACACGCTCCTCCCACCGCTCGAGAAACGGTTGAAAGGCAGCCTGGTGGTGAAATTTGACCACAGCACGGTTGCCCTGCTGGACGCCCACTAATTCCGACAGCTGCACATGGAGCACGTCCACCAGGGCAACACTAACCAACAGATGGTCCACCGGCACCATGCCAGACCAGCCGACAATGTCCTCTTCACAGGAGGCCGAGAAGTCCCCATGGCAAATTCAAACGTCACCCTGTCAGTGGCAAACCACCACCAGACAGGGCAACCAGCAATCATCCAACGTAAACACTAGCCAGGCGCGGAGAGACCTCAGGAGCGTCCGACCCGGCCGGTGGTTGCCAACCGACTCTTGGAGCCTTCTCTCGTTTTGTTTACAATCTGCCTGGGGCCAGTTGCTTACCCGCAGCGGCATCTCCCAAAATTATGGTTCTATTTGTGTCTATTACTTGACAGTGGGAGGGAATCCATAAGTTTATGGTATATTTCTTCAAATTAATGCATAGAAAACACCTTTCTATTAATTCTAATGCTTAAACTGTTGTTCTAAAGATACGAGATGTGGCTTAAATGTTTGTTACGACGTGTCGTCACAGAATCTCCCATTATTTTTTCTTTCACTAACTAATGTAATTAGTATAACCAGGTTTGCTGGCTATATTGGGTGCTAGTAAGGTTAGTATTTGAGTATGTTAGTGTGTTGTGTGTCGTATTTCTGACACCTGGTTCTTGCGAGCTGCACTTGCTTCTCTTCCCATCTGTTTGATAACCATGTCCTGATCCAGTTTGAGAGATCTCCTCCAACACTTTCTCCTGTCTAAGTTTCAATAATGGGGTTATTGTAACGGGGAAACGACATTTCGGTTCGTCTTTGGATCATTTTCAGTTGTGGATTGGGTATCTCAGGACTTCTTGCTTTACAATTAATATCTTGTATGAAACATGTCCCCTTCCCCCCTAACGTGGGCCCACTGAGCAGAGATAGCCCGCGCCACTGTGGCGAGACAGGAAGCAGAAGGGCTCCGCAGCCAACCCGTCTTCACTACTGTGGCCATAATATCCAGGATTGGTGTTGATTCGACGTTGAATTTACGTTGCTTTGGCGTTGAATGGACGTTGCTTTTGGATATTGTGACCCCGAGAGTAATAGGTCGCGCTTTTTCCGTTAACGTAAGGAACGTTACCAACGGCTCTCAAATATCTATGTTTTCTGGACCTCGGACTCGATATGTTGGGTGGGTACAATTAGGTTCATACGTTAGGGGTAAAAGGTTGGATTGTTTAAGACGTGACAAATCAAGAGATGGTCATGCGAGATGCCTTCCAGACCAGCGACCCAGAGATTTTGGGGCATCAACGTCACAATATTTACATATTCAGGCACAAAAACTTTATTCTTGACAACTTGTACACATCACAACAATGACTGAAATAAACAGGTGTACAGCAATTTACATCGAGCATATTTTTTACATAAAGTGGGTAACATTTAGCTTATAATTTGAAAAATGTGTTGTATTGGAAAAGCATTATATATTTTTTTCAATTCATTGTGTCGGGGGACAGGAAGCCAGAGAGTAGTCATACACGGTAGACTTATATCGAGATAAGCCGAATTATAGTGACCTCGCCCAGGATGCAACTCCACAACAAGGTGACTAACACCTGAGTACCTACTTACTGCTAGGTGAACAGAACCATTAGGCGAAAGGAAATGTCCAACCATTTCTGTCCCGCCCGGGATTCGAACCCAGAATTCTCGATTGTTCGACGAGAACGAACTGGGAATGAACTGTACTAGCGGGACCATCTCAATAGTTAGTCTTGTATGTATTAGAACAGTAAGAGAGACATTGACACATAGTACGCAATAAGAATAAAGAAAAGAAAATATAAAGAACTAGTATAAAAAAAATTATACCACGAAGGTTACCCAGCAGCAACGATCTTTGCTTGGTTACCCCCCCCTCGGAGTTTCTAAATTTCCTTCAAGGAGTAGTTTGCTTAGCGGCGCCCCTGTTCTCTGATGGAGTGTCCTCGGTGACTAGGTTCATCCGCAGACTTCCGTCGCCTCGGAGGGAGAACCAGAGTCCTGGGTCTCCTGAGTAGGGAAGGGGCAGGTGTCCGAGGCCTGGCAAGCTTTATGAAGCTTAGGAGGCATTAGATTAGTTTTTTAAAAGTTGTTCAGTGTCGACCAATATTTTTTTTACTAGTTGTATATGAAAAGGGCTGCAATTGTTCAAAGTTTCAGTACTGCAGCCTAAATAGAAAGGGAGATTTAATTTTTTTCAACGAATATTACACATTTTCAAGTGAGTTTAACCTTTCATCATTCTATGACACTTTTCTGGCACATTAGCATATAATAAAGGATCTATAGGAAAGGATTTTCCACAACATCTTTAGTTTTTCCTAATACAAATAGTCAAAGCTCCCCCAAAAAATTATGCAAATATATCATGTTTATTGCTATTATAAAATCAATAAATGAAAGGAAAAAAACGCTACCTACAGATTTTAGAGACATAAACTTTATAAGGTGTAATTTTCTTGTAAATTGAATAAAAATGAAAGAGTACCAACTCGTTTGTTACTTGAAAAATAAATAATTAAAAATTAAAGTCTAATGTGTTGCCATCTATGGCTGAGGTTGACATTAACCAATTTCCTTCAAAATTGGCACCCTTACAGATAGGCTTACGTGCAGTCAGGTGTATAAGTTTCATGCAAATTGTCCGATAAACAAATATGAAAAATAAAATTGAAAAAAAAAATAAAAAAAAAAATTATAATTTTTTTTTTAATGTTATTGTGATAGCTGAGAGTCATAGATATGATTTCAGTTGACACGTGTTAGATAATCGTTTTTGACCATTTTGGAAAATTTTTGATACATAATTCCGCGGTCGCCTGTCCCTCAATAGAATTCTTGGTGACTCGGATACTTTTGATATCGTTCGCCTTATGCGTTTTTGTTCTCGTATTGGCATCCTTGGTGATATTTAGCGCCCTCTGATTACCCCGCACATTTGTTGGTGCTACATAGCCTTCTCGGCTTGGTGCCTTCTTTTGATAATTACTTACTTGTTTGATACATAATTCAATATTTTTTTCTCCCTATTTATGCTACGATGCTGAGACTTAGACCAGATGAAACACTTTTTATATACAACTCGTAAAAAAAGTTTGGTTGAAATCGAAGCAGTTTTCACTTATTGCATATCTGGATCTAAGGCCCCCTTAGCTGGACCAATTAAGCGTGTTATCACATTCAACACTTCATTACTTAACCATTTTAACCATGCGAATTATTAATTAATCTTTTTTTTCGAGATGAGTTCGATGGACATTTGTGATTATTATTTCAAGTAATTTCTCCTAGACCTGAAATATATATCAAATATGGGATGGGAAACTGTCAAATACAAGTTTACAAAAGTCCTATACTGCCGTATACTTTTACGAACAGATATATATTTCCTTCCTGCCCAATTCCATATCTTTCTAAAAGTAATAACTACAACTAATAATACGTTTTGTGACTGGTGTGGTGGACAGTACGAGTTCCTGTACCAGGTGTTTGGGCGGGACCACTTTGGCCAGGTCATGTGTAATCTGGACGTGTTCCTGCGCCGCTTCAACGAGATCCAGTACTGGGTGGTGACGGAGATCTGCCTCGCCAACACCCTCTCCAAGCGAGCCCAACTCCTCAGGAAGTTCATCAAGCTCGCTGCATAGTACGTGAGCTCAATTTGTTTAACTGGCATAAAGTGGATTTAACTTTTGAAGCTAATTTTAACTGGCGTTTTTTTCTGGATTAAGCTTAATTGCTTTTAACTCATTCCAAATAGTGTTTAAGTGACTTTTATTGGTGTTAACTGGTTTTGAACAGGTTTTAACTGACTTTGAACTGGTTTTAACTATATTTGACTGGTTTTAAGTTATCTGGTTTAAGTTGTCTCAAACTGACTTTTAACGCGTATATTTTAATATATTTAGTTTCATTACTCCTCCCTATTCTTCGTTTACCTAAATAAATTGTCGCATATAAGAATACAATGAGTTGTAGGAATTTATTTATCCTTCAGCTTGATTTTGTGTGTTAAGGATTTGTTTGGTATTAACATTTTCAGTGTTTAGTGAGGTTTTCGGCAGGTAGCCTCGTGCTTCCTTGGGGTCCAGCCTTGATACCCATGTTGAGCGGTTGGTCAAGTTCCTTCAGTGTTCACGAGTTGACCACAAAGTCCAGTTCAAGTTCACCATTACACGTGACCCCTGACAATTACTCTCAAACACCACTAACTAGTTCCTTATTTGAACAGTACACTAATTAGTCCAATATACCAGTACACACCTGCATAATGATCATCTTTCACTGATACGACAGTTCCACAGACTTCGTCAGCATTAGTTAGCATAACTGCTGTAGACTGTATCTCGGCATCAGTTGCCATGACTAATGTAGATCTGTATCACATCCCAATGTTATAAGAGGTACGCCGATCAAATCAAAAACATTCATAAATGGTTGTACATTTATAACTATATAAAATTTCCTGCATTATTACATAAAGAAAGTCAAATTAATAACACGTAAATATTATAATTATATATCGTATAATCTAGATTTATATTTAGAAGCTTTGTAAAAGGTTTATACTTCTACAGCTCTCGTCATGAATTGCAATGCTTATTAATCGCCCAACATGCAACTAAGCCCCTGCTGTGACAATGTGATTGAAATATACAATTCTATCCATGACAGAGAATTCCTTATATTTCAGCTGTAAAGAACACCAGAACTTGAACGCTTTCTTCGCTATTGTCATTGGTCTTAGCAACGTGGCCATCTCTCGACTCTCACAGACCTGGGAGCGTCTGTCTTCAAGGTCAGATGAGTGCAAAGGCCTTTTCTTGGGACCACTGTTAGATTTTTTTACGTGAAATTTGGATTTATTGAGATTATATACAAGTGTGACACACACAGGCTGGCATAAACGTGCGAGCCATTAATTACTAAACTCTTTTTGACCCGACCAGGCTCACTGGTGTACTGTATCCACTACACCAGAGGCGATCATTGGTGTTGCGGGTACAGTACCCTGTACATGTGGGGGTGATTCTGAGCGGCTGGGGTTAGAATTCTGGGTCTAGATTCACGAAGCAGTTACGCAAACACTTACGAACTTGTACATCTTTTCTCAATCTTTGGCGACTTTGTTTACAATTATTAAACAGTTAATGAGCTCCGAAGCACCAGGAAGCTGTTTATAACAATAACAACAGTTGAATGGGAAGTTTTCATGCTTGTAAACTGTTTAATAAATGTAACCAAAGCCGTCAAAGATTGAGGAAAGATGTACACGTTCCTAAGTGCTTGCGTAAGTGCTTTCGTGAATCTGGCCGCTGGTCTAGTCAAAAGAGCTCTTAGTAATTAATGTCTCGCGCGTTCTTGCATCCTTTGTCACACATGTATATAATCTCCATCAATCCAAATGTATCTGGCCAATTACCCAGCATAGTTTCGTGAGGCTATTTCCTCGCGTCTATCCCCTAACCTCGAACAGACATTCACTCTTATTAATGTAGATATTATTCTTCGATAGATAGTGCCATTTTCAGTTTAATGTTAATGTTCGTCTGTTGTGTAAATTAATTCAAATGTGTCATTAGAGTTCCATGACTAGCTGATATTCTACCAATTTTAATTCTGCTGTAATTTGTTTATTGATACTTTAATTAAATTCCCCAAACTTTGTTAAGAAAAGTTAAAGGGCAAATTAAAAATATATAATGAATTTGTTAGTGAAATCTTTTATCAAATTACTTCTTGCTTTTTATGTATATTTTGATGTATGCATGTTTGATGTAAGATTTATTGGTGTTTGTCTGACGTATGTAATATTTAGTCTGTGTACTCACCTAGTTGTCCTTGCAGGGATTGAGCTGCGGCTCTTTGGTCCCGCCACTCAACCGTCAATCTAGTAGTATACAAGCCCAGTCCCTGAGCTTCTCGAGCTCTGTCATATCTACATTTGAAATTGTGTATGGAGTCAGCCTCCACCACATCACTTCCTAGTGCATTCTATTTACTAACTACTCTGACACTGAAAAAGTTCTTTCTAATGTCTCTGTGGTTCATTTGGTTACTCGGCTTCCACCTGTGTGCCCTTGTGCGTGTACCACCCTTGTTAAATAATCCATCCTTGTCTATCCTGTCAATTCCCCGGAAAATTGTGTATTTAGTGATCATGTCTCCCAGAGTTCTTCTGTCTTCCAGCGACGTGAGGTGCAGTTCGCGTAAACTTTCCTCGTAACTTGTGCCTCTAGTTCTGGGACTAGTCTAGTGGCATACCTCTGAACTTTCTCCAGCTTCGTCTTGTGCTTGACAAGGTATGGATTCCATGCTGGGGCCGCATACGCCAGGATTAGTCTTACATACTTGGTATACAAGGTTCTGAATGATTCCTTACATAGGCTTCTGAAGGCAGTTCTGATGTTAGCCGGCCTAGTATACCCAGATGTTATTCTTTTGAAGTGCTCTTCAGGAGACAGAATTGGTGTGATACCAACTCCTAGATCTTTCTCTCTGTCCGTTTCATGAAGGACTTCATCTCCCATTCGGTATTCTGCGTACGGCCTCCTATTCCCTCCGCCTAGTTTAATTACCTTGCATTTACTTGTGTTGAACTTTAGTAGCCATTTTGGGGGGGGACATTTCTTCAGTTTGTCTCGGTCATCTTGTAGCCTCATGCTATCTTCCTTGGTCTTGTTCCTCCTCAAAATTTTTGCATCATCTGCAAACATTGAGAGGAACGAGCCTGTACCCTCTGGAAGATTATTTACAAATATCAGAAACAGTATAGGTCCAAGAACTGAACCCTGCGGGATTCCATTGGTGACGCCTCACCACTCTGACCTCACCCCTCACTGACTCTGTCTTCTGTTGCTTAGGTACTCCCTTATCCAATGGAGTACCTTCCCTTTCACTCCTGCCTGCATCTCCAGCGTGTACACTAGTCTCCTATGGGGTTCTGTGCCTACAAGGCTTTCTTGTGTATGTAAAATCTGATTTATATGTGCGAGATGTATGTAAAATCTGATGTGTGTGTGTACAAGTCAGATATGCTCCCATACCTAACGCTTCTCACACTTCACCTTTGGAAGACGCACCCTACACTACTCTGTGAGGAGAGTTGACGACTCCTTCTCACACACAGGTTCCGCAAGATGTACACAGAGTTCGAGATGCTGATCGACCCCTCCAAGAACCACCGGGCCTACAGGATCTACGTCTCCAAGCTCCACGCTCCCATCCTCCCCTTCACGCCTCTCCTCATGAAGGGTAAAAGCAACATGTAATAACAATTTCCTTCTTCTCATTTTTCCCGTTTTATTTTTACCTTTTCTCCTTGATTTTGCTGCTGTTTGTGTTCGATTGTTTAGCCTTTCTCGTGACATGTTTGTGGTGTGCTTAATCTTGTGTGTGTTTTATTCACAACATTTTATTATTCTAACAGACAGCGTCCAGTGGCTGCTGGTTTCTGATGAGATTATTTACGTGTTTAGTATTAACTGTTGCCTGTGGATGAAGATTATATATGTATCTAGACGGACTAAAGTTAACTTGAAATATTCAGGACATTCAAATTTTGTTTTATAAATTTAGGGTTCCTAATAAAGTTAGATTGGACATCTTTTATCATCCATTTCAGCATACTTGATTAAGCTTTGTTATCAGAGGAACCGATATAATATAATATAATATAATATAATATAATATAATATAATATAATATAATATAATATAAAGTTAATGTTTTAAGTTCAAGAGAAATTAGATATTCATTTATCCTACTTTGAGCCCCAATAGTTGTATGAAATATATAGAGCACAAGAGTTAGTGTTACATTAAAGTATTTGGAATGCTGAAAGCTTAGACTATATCATATAAATGGAATATGGCAACAAAATTCCTCAGAAAAGTAGAGACATACACAGGATTTATGTGATATGGTCTGGGATTAACGTAGTTATCAGGAGTGAACAGGTAATCCTGCATTACAACTCTCAGTAGTGCAAGGTTTAATAAAATCATGCCTGTGTCGGAATATAGAAGACAGGCTGAAAACTGCAATATAATTCCCGTTGTCGGGGAACTGGAAGCCTGAAATTCATTGGTCACCCGGGGCCTATCACTAGCCTTCATTAGGATGCAACTCACACTAATGGCCTCTATTTTTAAACCGGTTACGTTATTTCCTCCTTGCATATTGCTTACAGATTAAAATCCCAAGTGGATAGTAGCGTAGTGCTGTTCCTCCATGATAAAAGAACAGATAATCCTTTATCCTCTTGGATGTGTGGATATTGGCCATAACTCCTGCATTTTCCCTCAGACATGACCTTCACACACGAGGGGAACCGCACCCTCACAGACGGTCTGGTCAACTTTGAGAAGATGCACATGTTGGCGCAAACACTTCGAACTATTCGATATTGTCGATCCAGACCGCTTGGTGAGTCTCTAATAAAATTCTTCGTATAACGTAATACAAAATTAACTCTAAATTTTTCCTTGATGTTTCTCTGTTTTTTTTCACACTTTTTTTCCAATTTACTATTTAGTTCAATGCTTGTTTATAAAATGTGATTCCTTGGACGATATATATATATATTTTTCAATTATGTTATGCTTACCTTGGTTTGGTTTACCTGTTGGCTAGTCTCTGGCAATTGAATGCAGGGCTTAGGTGATTTGGGAGTCTTACCCACACCACAATCTTAATGATGACATTTTTCCAATTGTTCTGAACTCTATCATTGTCCTAGTTGTAATGGTCGTGGTAACGCAAGGTTGTTTCAGAAGGTAGCGCTAAATTACCTCCAGCGTTAGGCTGCCTTAATCAAACTTGAAATTTTTGCCTCTGAATCACATTGGAACCCTTGAAAAAATCTGGATTCATGCTATCTGAAGTGTTCAGTGGCTTCCGGTCCCGGCATCTCAAATTTGTATTGTTTTCGATCTCTTCGCTTTGTAAGAACGATGGTTTCTTTCTATTCTGCTGTTGGTTGGTTGGTTAAATTTAGGGAGCCATCATTCTGCAGGATACTACCATTGAATGCAATGAAATTCCTCTTTCTGGTAGGGCTTCGTTCACTCCGACTTCACCCCTCCCCCCCTACCAGGTGCATCAGTTCATGGTCTTTCAGCTCCAAACTGAGACCGAGATGACATGGAAGCTAGAAGCTCCCGATGGTGCAGTTGCCTGTTGGTGGCCAGACGTAACTAATATATATATATATATATATATATATATATATATATATATATATATATATATATATATATATATATATATATATATATATATATATATATAATATACAATATACAATATGGATCTGGTAGCTGAGTGGACTCGTAATCATAAGGCCCGGGTTCGATTCCTGGACCAGGCAGAAACAAATGGGCAAAGTTTCTTTCACCCTAATGCCCCTGTTACCTAGTAATAAATAGGAACCTGGGAGTTGGACAGCTGTTACGGGCTGCTTCCTGGGTCTGGGTGTGTGCGTGTGTGTGTGTGTGTGTGTGTGTGTGTGTGTGAGAAAAAATTAGTAGTTAATAACAGTTGATTGACAGTTGAGAGGCGGGCCGAAAGAGCAGAGCTCAACCCCCGCAAACACAATTAGGTGAATACAACTTGATGAATACTCACAAGAGTTCTTACATTCTTGTACAGCCACCAGCAAGCATAGGGTTCCCGGCAAGTCCTTAATCCTATGTTCCCCGGAATACGACCCCAACAAATTGTTTAACAACCAGGTACCCATTTTACTGTTGGGTAAACAGAGGCTGCAGTTAAGGATTGGCGCCCCGTAAATCCTCCCCGGCCAGGATACGAGCACACGACAAAATGCTTGCGAAACGCCTTTTTTTCATGGCGTTTATGTATTTCATAATTAGCTTGAGTGCTGTGCAAATTTTTTATATAAAATCTTCACTGTTACATTTCTCCGTCACCAGCGCAACCAATAATCATGATTTTTGTTTTCCTGTAAATAACATTTGATTTTCAGTATTTGTCTAGACGAAAGTTGATTCCAATTGTCATAGATATTTATTCGTTCGCAACTGTTTTAGGGCAAAATGCCATGTACAGTTTTTAATTTTAAGAGACAAAAAGCCTTTTAGGTTTATCGAGGTCCACTTAGGCCAACGACTGGCATTTCCCAGGATACAATCCATAGCAATTGCTAGGTAAACAGCTGCAAGGAAACTTGCTCAGAAGTGTTCTGTACAGAAACAGTCGGTGAGCATTGGGTAGTGAGGCACGTATGCTCACCTTCCTCCCTGCTGCACAACACACCTCAAGATGATATGGAGCGCACACCTGTTCACAATTAGCTCGATTACTGTCCTAATATTGTATATATAAAATCTTCACTTCTACATTTCTCTCCATCAACAGCTCAAATAAAAATCATGATTTTTGCTTTCCTGTTAATAACCATGATATTTTTCATGTTACTATATCCATAACGCCTACAAGGAGGCGCACCCACATCACACTTTTTCTGTGGTACAGGATGTCCCGTTCACACGACTGATGAGAATGAAGGTAACTGCAATAGCCCTATTGGCCCATAAGATCTGAGAGTCCTCATATATATGTGCTTCAGCCTACAGTTTAGACCTATTGTCTTATGTATGACCCTCTGTCCTGCGTGGCAGTGAATACCAGCATTATCCTCACTTTAATAAGTCTAT